AAATACCTAGTTTCGCGTAATATAATTTCCTCTTGATAATTAAAAAAAAAATTATTTTCATGTATAATATCCCTTTTTCTTTTCTTTTCCTTCCTATTTTCTTTTCTTTCTGTTTTTTTTTTTGGGACCCATATTTGACAATCACGGCAACCAACTCGAAAGCAATTTAGCTCCTTTGGTTGCCGTACGCTTATACAAATTAATAATATATTATAAACGAGCATTAGAAATATTCAATAAAAATGAATAATCACGAATGTAAATAATGAACAGAATAGTGTGAATAAACCAAAATTGAATTGAATTGAATTGAATCTCCCACGTTGATTGTGGAGCCTTATGTGCCAAGATACATGAGTACTCTTCTTAGAGGAAAACCAGTGGTTAGCAACCCAATTAGGGTACCTAGAGTGCAATACTGAGGCTGGAGTCGTTTGCCAAAGGACCAGATCAAGGGAAGTTATTGTTCTAATTTATGCAAAATGTTATGCTTCTTTTCGTGCTCACTGTCTTTCTTGTTGTTTCTTTTCCAAGGCTATTGAGCTGTAATATTGGGGGCATCAGACAGCCGCACGTGGCATCTCTTGCTATGAGGCTGCCCAGAATATTGAAACTTGATAGGGCCCCATCCACTGTGCATAAGTACTACAGGAGCTTTATGACAGGGATGGGCTGAAGAGTATGGTGTATGTGCACTACTATATTTAAGCGAGCTTATGAGTCAGGGGAGTTCTCCAGCACCAGTCCTATCTGCAGTTTATGTCATTTCATGGGCCCACAGGAAGGCATTGGAACGTGACCCTTGCCAACACCCATGGGTTCCTCGGGTGTGTGAGGCGCAAGACTGGCTAAAAGACTGTTGGGGCGTCCACCAGTCAAGAAGGAGAATCTAAAGGTGGGCCATGTTCAGGCTATTGTAGACCAGTTCGGGTATTTTGGAACCAGCCTGGCAGATTTGCAGACCGTCGTCATCAACTTGGTTGGTTTTGCRGGTTTTCTCTGTTGAAGTGATCTTTCTGGAATTTGGGCGGATGATATGCAATTTCACAACGCCCACATGGACATCATGCTAAGAAAKAGAAAGAGCGAACAATACCGAAAGGGTAGTATGATTCCTATAGYCTGTACTGGGTCTGTCTATTGTCCTGTCTCATTGATGGAAAGGTTCCTCGCAAGGACCAATGTTTCAACAGGACCCTTCTTTCGCAAAATTAAGATACAGGTAGGAGAACAGGAGCTATCCCACAACAAACTTTGTTACTTAGCATGTTCAATGTTATTGGATTAGAGGAGAAGAAATTTGGAAGCTTGAGAGCTTGAGGAGCATCGGCTGCATCAGAGGCGGGAATCCCTAAAAGGCTTATTTCATCTCATGGAGGATGGAAATCTGAGTCCTCCCGCAATGGTTACATCAGAGACAGCAAGTAAACTCTGGTATCTGTTTCTAAGGCACTAGGCCTGTAGACCAAAATTAAAAAACAAATTGCTTGTGCTACCTATGCTTTTGCACTGTGGTTGCGAGCTTAGATCGTCCACCACATACTGTGTACTGTGTGCTGTTCTGAGGAATCTAGTAGTAGTAGTACTAGGAAATCTATTTCTCTTGTAACAGACAAGTTTAGCAAGGGTCGTGACATGCAGGTAGATGGGATCAGGGATCATRGTTATTTTGGGATCAGGGATCGGGATTTGTTGCATTGGGATCGGGATCACAGCCACTGGGATCGGGATCATTGCTAAATATAAGGGATATGTCAAATCCTTCGTCCGATATCTGGTTGTCTTATATCATTATTATTCTGTTATGTTTCACCTCCGGACGTCGATCGTATTTCCATCTGCAATCGGAGACTTTTTATGGACAATAAGGTTTTTGCAATTTTGTAATGCGTTGTTTTTTTTTACTGTTTTTGTGGTTACTCCGATACGGAGTAATCCACTATGTCGTCGCGATGTAAGCAATCAAGAAATCTGTAATACCCGACTCTTTTCCGAAATCGGTTCGATCATTTCACTATCGATATAATCGCAGCGGGAAGACCGAATGACTCTGGGACACCAAGTTTTGGAGTAACCACAGAGGAGTAACCACATGAAGTGTATGTTGATGTGTGACGTCAAAATAATTGSCACATTTTATGTGACGCTCATCCACACGTGACAATTTTTAATTGTCACATAAAAACTAACATGCCAGCTTTCCAGCAACTACAATAAAAAAACATTGGTTGCGGGCTTAGACCGTCCACAGCATACTGTGTACWGTGTGTTGTTCTGAGGATGTTAGGACTGTAGGAGTATAGGAATTGACATTTTAAATTTGAGATTTTCATTTGTTTATTAATATTTCTTAGCTATCATGATTTTGAAAAATCTGGTGTTCTATGTGAAGATGTAGTGTTCTAACACTAGCAATGTAATTTAGGTAACACCCAGTGGTTTTGTTGTTGTAACTGATAACTYGCAACAGCCTTCCTACCAACAATCAACTAGCAACCCTCAATCATGGCAAGCTTCTCAGGGACCCTATACAGTTGGACAAAATATTTCACCAATGCATCATGGTCAAACACCATTTGATCCTAATATGTTTGCATCAGGAGGACCATTGTATGACCCAAGAGTACATGGTATGTAGKGACAGCAAATGATATATTTTTGTAATGGTTAGAGAGGAAAAATACCAACAAAACATGGCATAAAATGTCATATCAAATGTCATAAAATGTGTGCATTAAATTAGATGTATAATAGAGATTCAAACTGGAATAATCGGTTTTGCTCTTTGTTCACAACATGTTTTTCTTGAATTATTAACAAGGCCATAACATTKTTCATTTGATGACTTAGTTCTATACTCTGCGAACAGATCTACTTTTCTYYCCCGCAAAGAAGCGAGASAAAAATACCTGTGATACCCGTAGCAGAACAATCATAAATTCTTCTAAAAATCGCGCGCGCTAATTTAAAATTCTTTTTCAAACCGTTAACTTACGCGTGCAAACCATTTGTTACAACGCACTGAGGAAGGTCAGAGTTCTGACCGAAACGTCTGCGTTCTCATTAAAAACTTAAGCTAGTGAAAAATACTTTTGTTCAGTTTTTATTAAAACATTTTGTGTTTGTGTATGACAATGTTTGTTCTGTAAATCAAACAATCTTTATTCAAAGGTAGAGTCATTTTCATCCGTCTGTGAAATAGGAATTGTACTATTAAATACTATTACCCCTCACAGGTAACCCAGGCTCAATAACCGTAATTATTATATGACTTAGATAGTACGCGAGCTCTGATTGGCTGAAAACTGGTCCGTGAAATCGCGTATCCAGACTGCGGATCCGGTTTTTTCGTATCCGGACCGGAAATTGCTAATTTGATGGTCGCGCAGTAATTTGGATTGAGAGAATCAAGACAACTTTGTTTATCAGATTTGAGACTTTCTTTGCAAAAAAAAAAAAAAGTCATACAAAATCCTTTTTTTTTAAATGATCTGAAAGAAAGATGGTTCAATTTCAACTACCCCCGCCTTTTTGTTCGTGCTCGCGTCTTAGCATTTGACTTTCCCGCTCTTTTCCGAGTTGACCGKACAGTTGTTTTCAATGCCAACGGCATCAATCCACYTTAARGCTGATTTACACGGTACGATTTGTCGCGCGCGACTTGTAGTATACGATTTTCCTACTACAAGTCGTAGGATTTTAAGCAGTGGTTCAAAACCCTACTACAAGTCGTAGGTTGCATTTACACTGCGCGATTCAAGTCGTATACTWCAAGTCGCGCGCGACAAATCGTACCGTGTAAATCAGACTTTAGAAATGCTCGATAATTAAGCATTCACACAATTCARAGATAGCCCAAAAAGGACTCTATTGGAAAAAATACTCAATATCAAGTTGTAAAAGCTCAATAGCAGCCAGAAAATAAGTCCACAAACTATTCAAAACAAAAGTGAAAAGCCGAAGTGATTCAAACCGGTGTCTTTGCAAGATTGAAATCCTCCTCTTATAAAGATATAAAGGCAACTTTCCTCGATTCAATGACTTCTCGGTTGCTGGAAAAGAAAGAAAATTGTAATTCTATATTGAGAGCAGAGCTCCGAGCATGCAATAACTCCTCGGCTGCTGGAAAAGAAAGAAAATTGTAATTMTATATTGAGGGACATCCACTTCAAAAAAGTAAACAAATCTACACAGGCGGCCACGACGATAGAARAAWCAGTAAAAATTTGTGAGTAAGCTGTAATAATAATGTATTTGTATATGAAAATAAACTGAATCTATGAAACAAGAAGCCAAAATCCCCGTCTTTTTAGCCGACAATTACTGAAAATATGATGATTTCCGTGTCATTACTTATATCGTGAGATATCGTGAGAAAACCGGTGCTATCAGATAGAGGGAGGCAACGGGTTGTAAGTTAGCCAGTGAGACTTTTCTTATGTGCTTTGAGTAATTCTTCTACATAGTCCACGATGTAAAATTCATATAATAAACGAGTTATTAACCTCGCTTGCTCGATCTGTACGGGAAAATATCAGACCTCGGTCTTTTATGTATGCGCTCGGTCCGTATTGTCAAGACCTCGGTCTGATATTTTCCCGTACAGACCTCGCGCTCGGTTAATAACCTCTTATTAGAACAAAATATATCGCACGCACAATATTGTATTTTTTATTATAACATAAATAAAACGTTTCTTACCTACCTGGTTTAAAATATTTCGATTTTTAGGGGTTTTACGCCATTTTTGATGTGCCATTGTTCAACCTACTTATATTAATACAAGGTTGGAGACTTGCCTTAAAGAATTCTCACAATAACTCTACTTGCACTCGATTTTTTTGTCAAAATCCATTCTTTTGTCCACATTTAACTGCTCCACAATAAATATAAATGTCCAAGGATTCTATTTAAGCTCTTCATCAATGAATTGCTTTTCGGGAAGTTATTATCGAGGTTTTAGATAAGAAAACAGTATAAGTAGAGTGCTCGCACTAAATGCGTGAAATATAATTACTACAAAATAGGTGATAAGTTATACAAATTCCTTTGTTTCCTATTGCCAATATAATCAACACTATTTAGTAGTAATTAGTGCTATTTGTTTCACGCTTTTTTTCCTGACATTGGAATTGATTAAACATGCACGTACATGTACATTTWTTAAACGTTTGGATWGCTTCTCTTTATAGACTGTAGTTTATCGTACCACTGTTGCTGTTCTATACGTTCAAATTAAAAATTTAATATGGCATGCCGATCAGATTCTTCCGGAGGTGGAGCTTTATAATGGTATATTTAATATATATAATGGTAAAATTTGATTGAAAAAAGGGCACCAAGTTTTAAAACATATATAGCAATAATGAAATTGTTGTAGTGGTAAAATTTGCTATTAAAAGAAAAGCGTACTTGGACCATTTTGTGCGTATTTCGTACTT